TAACTGGCAAGATTATCGCCCTAGTCCTCCTAAACAGACTTCTTCCAGAGGCGGAAAACTTTCTCCCAGAATCTCAATGTGGTACCACTGAGATGATCTTTGCTGCTCGCCAGATACAGGAAAAGTGTAGAGAACAGTGGAGTAAAAAAAGGATGTGTACTAGCACCAACTCTCTTTTCCATTTTCTTGGCTGCCTTTCTTGATCGTGCGAGTGCCAATTTAGCCGGCAGGGTGGGTATCGAGTACTGGATGAAGGGTCTTTTCAACATAAGACGACTCCAGGCAGGAACAAGCGTGAAGACAGCTTCCATTACTGAACTTCAGTATGCAGATGACCTCACCCTTGTAGCTCATACTGAACGCGAACCTACAGGAGATCCTGAACACCTAAGCAAATGCACACTTTGACCTTGAGGTGAATGTACGTAAGACTCGGATTCCATTTCAGCCTGCCCCTGTTTTAGCCACACCTCCACCATCTATCCAGCTTAACGATACTACCCTCTCTAATGTTACCAACTTTCAGTAACTCGGCTCCCACCTGTCCACCACCGCGGACATCGATGAAGAGAGTCAACTTCGCATCAGATGTGCATCTCAAGACTTTGGCAGACTCCGTACCCGTGCCTTCAGCTGTAGGGAGCTGAAATTAATTATCTACAAAGTTGCATGTATATCGAGCAGTGGTCCTCCCCACCCTGCTATATTGCTATATGGCAGTGAGACATGGGTCACATACAGGAGGCACCTTAAGGCATTTGAAAACTTTCACCAACGTGGTCTACGTTCCATCCTCCGAGTTCGCTGGGAAAACAAGAGAACAAATGCTAGTATTCTCCCTGACACCAACTGTAGGAGCATCGAGGCTACCATTATTCGTGAACAACTAAGTTGGACTGGCCATGTAACCCGCATGGTCAACAATAGACTGCCAAAGCAGCTACTTTACTGTCACCAAACAATTAGTAAAAGAAATGCTGGCGGCAACTGAAAAGGTATAATAACAGTCTTAAGACAAACCTGAAAAAGTGCCAAATTGACCCCATCACCTGGGAGACGATTGCTCCACACCATAAAGCTTGGAAGAGCACCACACGAGAAGGTGTCAATACTTTCGGGTCAGCCAGACTGCTTATCGAGGCAGACAAGCGCCGGAAAGACGCTGCCACCGCTCCTCCCGCACTAGATATAGATCCTCCCCATGTTCAATGCATGTCACCAACGAAGGTGTCACCTTTAATAACTGATATCATTGTATCCTAGTTGAATGATCATCATACTCAATTCCGAGTGATAGCAAAGGAGTGTGTGTGAGTGTGTGTGTGTGTGTGTGTGTGTGTGTGTGTGTGTGTGTGTGTGTGTGTGTGTGTGTGTGTGTGTGTGTGTGTGTGGAGGTACTATATTCACATGTATTTGATACAGATATGTATATTATGTATAAAAAAGACAGTTATAAGTGCTATAAGTGATACAAATGCCCACATATGCCTACAAGACACTGAGTATGATATGTGTCTCCATTGGAAATATTATATTTGATGTGCTACTGATAGGAACATGTGATAAATTACAACACTGAATCATTGATAACACCAATATGAGGAAAATCATTATACACTATAGCATTTTACACACCCATTTGTACTAAAGCTCTACCCAATACTTGCACTTTACATCACTGACCATCTGACTACATGTATCATTGTTAACTAAATCTCAACAATAACAATTACATAAATTTGGTGATATGTGATAGTAATGTACATAACAAATGTCGCTGTGATCACTACAATACTGTATATCGCTACGTATTGTGGACTAAAAATAGATCATACAGTTTCACCGAATTATATACACTACAAAGAAGACCCATGATGTGGCAACAGTGCAATGAGTAGTACGAGCCATTCCCATAGTGAAGGACCAAGGTCATGCCCATGAGGTTCCTTTATTTGGATTGCCAAAGCTCATCAAGTGGAATTTTTATGTTTTACAAATGTTTTTGACCATTCTGAGTTGACTTCTGCAAGATTTTTTTTTTTACCAGCTCTGCCGTGTCATTTAGTTATAATATCTTGCGGTAATGTACAGGTTAACATTATGTTTAATTAATTCACACGGACAATTTTTTTCCTAAAAACCTTAGGCTGAAGGTTGACACCAAAGTAATCACAGGGAATTCCTAAAGCACTATTTGCAGCAAAACTTACCTCATACACCAATTCCCCCATTAACGTCACTTCAGTCAACGTCATTTCGTTATAATGTCGTTAAATAAATTTGAAAATATGTATGGAAATGATAAATGTACAACAATTTTAAAAACTCGGCACGAAGGTGGTCAGCGCCTGGGTCAGCTGCGATAACAGCCGGCTGTGTAAGTGACCGGTGTTAGTCACGACGTGGGTGTCTTACAATACTTGTACGGTGGTTGGTTGATGCTTTCTCAACATTCACTTAAAACTAATTATAAATTTATTTCAGCCCTAGAGTAATGATTGCGAAACGTGCATTGTGCACCACTACAGCCTGTGGTGACAAAAAGAAGAGGAAAAGTGTTATATTAGAAATTAAATTAGATGTAGTAAAGAGATATGAAAAGGGACAGCGAACTGCAGACATCGCAAGAGCTCTCGGTCTGCAGCCTACAACTGTACGAACAATTTGTGGGAATGCAGAAAAATCAAATCATGTGCTGAAAGTGTTACTCCATTATCTGCTACAAAGTTAACTCGTAACAGAAGTGGCATTATGGAAAATATGGAAAGAATGCTGAACATGTGGATCGAGAATCCACATCAATGAAACTTTTCATGTTCATAGCTCGCCATACAGGAGAAAGTTTTAAGTTTATTTGAAACTTTAAAACAAGAAGAAGGTGATAGTGCTGAAAATGAAACATTTGTGGCAACTTATGGGTGGTTTGAACGATTTAAGACGTGTTCAAACTTGTACAAGATACACATTACAGGTGAGTCTGCAAGTTCAGATAAGGAAGCAGTTGCTGCTTACCCAGCAGTATTGAAAAAAGTAATTGCAGGTGGTAGATACATTCCACAACAAGTGTTCAATGTATACAAAACAGGTCTATCTTGGAAACAAATGCCAGCCAGAACATACATTTCAAAGGAAGAGAAAAGTGCATCTGGGTTCAAAGTGGCCAAAGATCGCCTGACTCTCCTGCTTGGGGGTAATGCTGAAGGAGATCTGAGGCTCAAGCCATTGCTTGTTTATCATGCTGAGACTCCAGGGGCTATGAAGGGCTACTCTAAAGCTCATCTTCCTGTTGTTTGGCACTCAAACAAAAAGGGCTGGGTCACCAGAGCAGTATTTGATGAGTGGTTTACCAGATATTTCTGCCCAGCTGTTAAGGAATATTGTAAGGAAAATAACCTTGAACACAAAACATTGCTGATTTTAGATAATGCTCCAGGCCACTCACCATACCTGGATGACTTGTCAGATAATGTCCAAGTCATTTTCTTGCCTCTAAACACAACTTCCATGATTCAACTTATGGATCAGGGGGTTATATCGATCCTCAAGGCCTATTATTTGAGGCGCACATTCAAACAATTAATTAAGTTTACAAAAAGTGAAAATAGGCCCACTGTAAGGGAATTTTGTCGTGCCTACCACATCATGAAAGCGATCAGGAATCTGTCTGAGGCATGACAGGAAGTGAAATCAACAAATATGAATCGCGTTTGGCGTAAAATCTGGCCAGAATGTATTGGTGACTTCATTGAATTTGACCAGCCAATAAACAAAGTTCATGAAGAGAACGCTGGATTGGCGTGGCAGATGGAACAACAATGAGCAGCTGAGCAAGAGGGTGATGAAAGTGAAGAGGCATTACCAGCTTGATCCTTATCAACAAAAGATTTGTCTGAAGCTTTTGAGCATTTGGAAAAGGGTATGGCAATTTTCACTGAAAAAACCCTCAAAGAGAAAGCTCACAAGCCAATAAAAATATAACACATCCATACAACTGTTACATAGAATTGTACAAACAGAAAAAAATGTATGTACATCAGCTAACATTGGACATGTTTTTTAAACACTTATCTGAACAACAAAATCCAGCGCCAGCAACACCACCCCACCCTGAGGCAATACCAGGACCCTCAGGCACTTCTCACAACACATTTAAGGGATTTGAAATGGACAGCTTCAGTGTCTCCTCTACCTCGCAGCATTAATGAGGGGAAAGTGGGACCCCAGTAGCCTCCCTACCATCACCACCACTACATCCACTACGTTGACTACGGCATCAACCACCAAGTAAATATTATATTACTTGTGTTTATTAATCGTATTTGGATGTGTAGTACACATTTATTTATATTAAGAATATAGTAGTGTGGTTTTTGGTCACATTTATTTATATTAAGAATATAGTAGTGTGGTTTTTGGTCACATTTATTTATATTAAGAATATAGTAGTGTGGTTTTTGGTCTTTATTCAGTAACTACATTTGAAAATTTTTACCTGAAATGTATCCAAGGACCATAACCCTTATATATATCATTGTGTCTATGGTAAAACTGGTTTCACTTAGTCGTTTCGCGTAAAGTCGTGGTTTTTCGGAACCTAACATGGTCATTAATTGGGGGAACTGGTGTATTAGACAGGCTTTTCTGATACAGAAAATTGCTCTTTAATTTATTAATGGCCTCTAACTGTAAAGCCACAAATAAAACTGGTATAAATCAGTGACTTGCTGTTCTTGATGAGAAACGGGACAAGCATTGGGCAGATTATAAAATAATCATCAATTTAAAAATATTCCTTTTAACATGCAGATGAAGCAGACCTAGGCCCAGGCTTTACAAGGCTTTATGGTGTATTTCTCAAGGGATGTTATGTTAATTTTGACTGTGTGGCAAGTTGTTAAAAGGGTATGTAGGTCATACTAATATCAGAATCCATCAAATTAATATAAATATGTTCAATATAAATATTTACGGAATACATAAAATTTACAAGTTTAACTTACAATGATATTGACATTCATCTCAACATTCCACTCAACACCAAAGTTGTGTTTCTTTGACTTAAAGTAGATGGAATCACCCACTCGAGAGATACTAAAGGTGTTGGTGGAGGTGCCAATGCGCTGAGCCTGTAAAATTACACCAAAGATTAGTAGTAATAAATGAAGCTACACACGATCATCCTCCGCGTGTAGTGTTGTGCACCACATACTGTTTAAGGTGTCATTTGGGACATATAAAAAAGAGAAAATACTGTTTTTTAACCAATGGTTGTACTGCACATGTTAATATTTGTTTTAAATTCCTTATGTTTTACCAACTGTGAACCTTTAAGTTAACCCCCAAACAATGTACAAAAATGTTTCTGGGTTGTGTAAAGGTGTATCTCCCCAACCCAAGAAATTTGTGTACAGTATATTGTTTAGCCTAGGGGTTACCTCAGGGGTTAACAGTTAACACAATTGGTTGATATTGGTTCAATAGACACGCTAGTACTGTAATATCTCCAATACAGACAGTAGCTCAAAACCAGTATAGCAATGTCCAGTAGTCCCACACATGTTGTCAGGGTTATGTTTTAGAATTTTCCCAAGGTCAGCAAAACCTTGGTTGGCCAGGGCTGAGACATGGGTGGTGTGACTGAGACATGGGTGGTGTGAATGAGACATGGGTGGTGTGAATGAGACATGGGTGGTTTGACCGAGACATGGGTGGTGTGAATGAGACATGGGTGGTTTGACCGAGACATGGGTGGTGTAACTGAGACATACGTGGAGTGATTGAGACATGGTTGGTGTGACTGACACATTGTGTAAATGAGACAGGTGGAGTGATATATATATATATATATATATATATATATATATATATATATATATATATATATATATATATATATATATATATATATATATATATATATATATATATATATATATATATATATATATTACTTTGTATAAACTCTATTGAATTTATTAGCACTTTTATAGAATAATTTTTAATTTGGATGCAGCTCCCTTTCCATTGGTCTCTATATTATTCACTTTTAATTGTACTGTATCATTCTACCTGTAACAGTTAACAATTACATAGGTGTTGACATGAGGTGGGAAACTCAGTTATTTCAGCTCAGCTGAGGATATTACGAGTCTCAAGTCAATTTGCAAGTCAAGAGGGGTAACTTTCGAGTCAATTCAAGTAAGATTACACTCAATGTCCAAGTCAACTCTCAAGTCCATAAAAATAAGAACTTGAATCCTCATCTCTGGTAATACTTATAAGTGCATTACAGACAATTACCTTAAAAATATATCAATTTACAGTCAGTTACATTATGAAGACTGGGATGGTACTCACAATGTAGGGACATGGTGGTGTGGTGCTTAAATAAAAAAGTGAGTTTATCTGACACGCACAAAAAAATTACATGTTGAAACATATCTCACTGTGTACAGCAGAATAACTTACCTGAGTGACAGTGTAGGTGTTCTCATCCCAAAGAATAAGTAGGTCTGGCCGGAGAATGAGTTGCTTACTCTCTTGTGTAATGTTGAGGTAGCGATCACATTTATGACTCTCAGAACAGTTCCTGTGCACTGTCAGAACACAAAAGTAACGGATATGCTTTGAATTTAAATCTATATGTAAACATAAACAATTTATTCATAACTCTAAAATTTAATTGATCATTACACCTCATTTCATCTTACTAGCCATTCAGACAGTTGGTCTCTTGTTTGTGACTTTGTTATAAGCTTTATTGGCCAGTGGTAGAACAAAAGGAAACCAGAGTACTATACCAAGAGACAACGACCAATGTTTGGAAGTCACACAGGATAACACCCTTCCTATGTGCCTAGAAGTGTAGCACCAGTTAGTGGTGTCTTGTAGTGTAGCACCAGTTAGTGGTGGCTTGTAGTGTAGCACCAGTTAGTGGTGGCTTGTAGTGTAGCACCAGTTAGTGGTCTATTGTAGTGTAGCACCATTTAGTGGTCTATTGTAGTGTAGCACCAGTTAGTGGTCTATTGTAGTGTATCACCAGTTAGTGGTGGCATGTACTGTAGCACCAGTTAGTGGTGTCTTGTAGTGTAGCACCAGTAAGTGATCAATTGTAGTGTAGCACCAGTAAGTGGTCTATTGTAGTGTATCACCAGTAAGTGGTGTCTTGTAGTGTAGCACCATTTAGTGGTCTATTGTAGTGTAGCACCAGTAAGTGGTCTATTGTAGTGTATCACCAGTTAGTGGTGGCATGTACTGTAGCACCAGTTAGTGGTGTCTTGTAGTGTAGCACCAGTAAGTGGTCTATTGTAGTGTAGCACCAGTAAGTGGTCTATTGTAGTGTATCACCAGTTAGTGGTGGCATGTACTGTAGCACCAGTAAGTGGTGTCTTGTAGTGTAGCACCAGTAAGTGGTCTATTGTAGTGTAGCACCAGTAAGTGATCAATTGTAGTGCACCAGTTAGTGGTGTCTTGTAGGGTAGCACCGGTTAGTGGTATATTATAGTGTAGCACTAGTTAGTGGTATGTTATAGTGTAGCACCAGTTAGTGGTCTATTGTAGTGTAGCACCAGTTAGTGGTCTATTGTAGTGTAGCACCAGTTACTGGTCTACTGTAGTGTAGCACCAGTTAGTGGTGTCTTGAAGTATAGCACCAGTTAGTGGTATATTGTAGTGTAGCACCAGTCAGTGGTCTATTGTAGTGCAGCACAAGTTAGTGGTGTCGTGAAATGTATCACCAGTTAGTGGTGTCATGTACTGTAGCACCAGTTAGTGGTGTCTTGAAGTGTATCACCAGTTAGTGGTGTCATGTACTGTAGCACCAATTAGTGATCATTGTAGTGCACCAGTAGTTCTGTAGGGTAGCACTGTTAGGGTATATTATAGTGTCACTAGTTAGTGGTATGTTATAGTGTAGCACCAGTTAGTGGTCTATTGTAGTGGCACCAGTTAGTGGGGTCACTGATACAGTAGCATCAGTAGTGGTGTGTCACCTGATACAGTAGCACCAGTTAGTGTGTGTCACTGATACAGTAGCACCAGTTAGTGGTGTGTCACCTGATAGTAGCACGTTAGTGGTGTGTCACTGCACAGCAGCACGGGTGTGTCACTGATACAGTAGCATCAGTTAGTGGTGTCACACGATGCAGTACCAGTTAGTGGTGTCACACTTACAGTAGCATCAGTTAGTGGTGTGTCACTGATACAGTAGCACCAGTTAGTGGTGTGTCACTGATACAGTAGCATCAGTTAGTGGTGTGTCACTGATACAGTAGCATCAGTTAGTGGTGTGTCACTGATACAGTAGCATCAGTTAGTGGTGTGTCACTGATACAGTAGCATCAGTTAGTGGTGTCACACTGATATAGTAGCACCAGTTAGTGGTGTGTCACTGATACAGTAGCATCAGTTAGTGGTGTGTCACTGATACAGTAGCATCAGTTAGTGGTGTGTCACTGATACAGTAGCATCAGTTATGGTGTCACTGATACAGGTAGCACCAGTTAGTGGTGTCACTGATGCAATGCTTTTAGTTAGTGGTGTGTCACTGATACAGTAGCATCAGTTAGCGGTGTGTCACTGATACAGTACTTCCAGTTAGTGGTGTGTCACTGATACAGTAGCATCAGTTAGTGGTGTGTCACTGTTATTAGCATCAGTTGAGTGGTGTGTCGCTGATACAGTAGCACCAGTTATTAGTGTGTCACTGATGCAGTAGCATCAGTTAGTGGTGTGCAGTAGCATCAGTTAGTGGTGTGTCGCGATGCAGTAGCACCAGTTAGTGGTGTGTCGCGATGCAGTAGCCCCGTTGAGTGGTGTGTCACTGATGCAGTAGCACCAGTTGGTGTGTGCTGATACAGTAGCATCGGTTAGTGGTTATTATTACACTGATGCAGTAGCATCAGTTGGCGGTGTGTCACTTTGATGCATTAACTCAGTTGGTGGTGTGTCACTGACGTGGCATCAGTTGGTGGTGTGCTGATACGGTAGCACCCGCCAGTGGTGTCAATCACTGATACAGTAGCCGCAGTTAGTGGTGTGTCACTGATACAGAAGCATCAGTTAGTGGTGTGTCACGATACGGTAGCATCAGTTAGTAGTGTGTCACTGATACGGTAGCATCAGCGGTGTGTCACTGATACGGTATCAGTGGTGTGTCACTGATACCTGTGCTTCCAAAGTTAGTGAGTGTACTGATACGGTAGCATCGAGGTTAGCGGTGTGTCACTGATACAGTAGCACCAGACAGTGGTGTGTCACTGATACAGTATCAGTTAGTGGTGTGTCACTGATACAATGTACCAGTTGATGATGTGTCTGCGGTCACCGTGCTTTACGTGGTGATGTGTGTCACTGAGCGTAGCATCAGTTAGTGGTGTGTCACTGATACAGTAACTTTAGTTAGTGGTGTGTCACTGATACAGTAGCATCAGTTAGTGGTGTGTCACTGATACAGTAACTTTAGTTAGTGGTTTTCACAAGTCAAGTTTTCATTCTTCTTTATCTTTTGTTGATGGTGTTACAGTACACTACACTACAGGATGTTTTTATTGTGCCTTTCTCAAAAAATTTCTGCATCTTAAGAATTTGATTATGGCGGATTATTTTCATACAAATCAGTAATGAAATCTCTTTCGCTACATTTCATCCCCTCATCTACTTATTCATTCTCCGCCCAATTACGTATTTACTAAAGAATTAATTATAAAATGCACCGTTTTAGAATTTGGATTTAATTTTCTATATAGAATCTCCTTACCAGAAACAATCCAGTCTTTCTTGATCTTGTCTTCTGCCAGGATGTGGTTACATGGCTCCAGCTCATAGTTAGAATCATCAAAGGAGGTGAAGGTGCGACCTTCCATCTTACATTCTGGAGTAATGACTCTTGGGAGAGCTGTGGTAACGTCTGGTGGTGGACTTCCAAATGGTTCTATCAAATAAAAAAAAAGTAACTAAGATATGGATATAACAGGATGGAGTGACTTACTGATAATCTATAACTATTCACATTACAAAAATACAAGTTGCACATATCTAAGCTGATTTCCTAAGAACAGGATTCTCACTTACATGGTTTACTTTTTAACTCCCAAATTTTGGTTATGCTGGATAAGGTTCACATGCACTGTACATGAATGTGCACTACACTTTTCAGATTTCCCACACTAATTGTAACAAGGGAAAACATCTTACTCGTTAGAATGAACCTGGAGCTTGTTGTATATAAATATCTACTCACTGACTTGATTTCAATATACTTAGTACAGCGGTAACGTACGAATATACTGTACAGTACCTGAGAGCATTCTTCACGCCTTTAACGAAAACACCTAAAGAAGTCTAAGATGTTGACTCTACAGCATAAACTAAGTTGGAGATACTGAGAAATCTTGAAAATAGTGAATTAGTTGCAGGGCTTGGTAGGGCATACCGGATGAATGAATCAAGAATACTGCATGTGCTAAGAGCAATTCTAACAAAAATTAGCAGCACAGTACTGCTAAGAAGTTCATTATATTTTCAGTAAAGATGATGACAAGAGTGAGGAATCCAGAATTTAGAAAAATGGAAGAGATATAGAATACATGCAATAAAATTTACATCATCAAAAGGGGACACTTGGCTTTGGCCAAGAGCTTAATCCCTTTTACTAAGGAAACCCATATTCATCTATGATGGATCTTTTATGTCGACCTTTTCCAGGAACACAACTCCAACTTGAACAAGAACAACCTTAAGGACCTGCTCATGGAAATGACAATGCAGGTTGACAACCTCTTACCCGAAATTTCGAAAACCGAAAACCTCTGAAAACCGAAAGATTTTCGTAGAGCATCGCATAACCTCCCCCCTTTTTTTACAGGGATTAGCCCGCCCGGGCACAGGTCACTGACACATATCAGGGTCCGGGGCAAAATGTAATGATAATAATAATAATAATAATAATAATAATAATAATAATAATAATAATAATAATAATAATAATAATAATAATAATAATAATAATAATAATAATAATAATAATAATAATAATAATAATAATAATAATAATAATAAAGAAATACAAAATAAAAAGATCAAAAGTGAAACACGACCTAGACCGATGAATTATTATGTGTGTGTGTGTGTGTGTGTATGTGTGTGTGTGTGTGTGTGTGTATGTGTGTGTGTGTGTGTGTGTGTGTGTGTTATTATTATTATTATTATTATTATTATTATTATTATTATAATATCATTATTACATTTTTTACCCCTCCCCAGGCCCCAATATGGGTCGGTAACTTGTGCCCGGTGGGCTATCTCCCCCCTCCCCAAAACAAAATAACTAACCTAACCATTCTGAAATCCGAAACACATCTGGTCCCAAGATTTTCGGATAATGGATTGTCAACCTGTACTGTATTGTTTCACCACTGAAATTCTATTTTAACATTGGAGACCTTGACTGTTAGATTTATTCCCCACCCCCGATAATCAATAGGCTTCTGCTTTTCAGTGAGGTTTCATGATGAATGTATAACCTCTATACAGAAAATGACCAGAAGATGCAGCATGTCTGGACGGCTTGTATGTTCATACATGCGATTGAATGTCTGTGTGTGGGTTGGTATCAGTGTGCCGCACCTTGCTACCTACACTCATTTACATAAACTTTTTATGTAGAGTATGTATTGTCTTTAACACGGATACTTAAGAGTTTTAAACAATTAGTAAAATTATGTTGAGTACATATTTGAACTTGTTGCGCACCAATAATAGATATACAGTATATGTGAGAAAAAATAGGTGGCAACTGACGCCGATCATGATTTTATCTGAGATGAAATGATACCAGTAGCTTGATTTTTATGAAGTGTTTTAAGCAACACTGCCACACATCACAAGACCATGCATCAAATACCCTCATGAAGTATGTCACATAGGTGACCTTTCCTGTCTGCTGAAGAAGCTGCTGAGCTCACTCTTCTGTAAAAGTCTGTGTGTGTGTGTGTGTGTGTGTGTGTGTGTGTGTGTGTGTGTGTGTGTGTGCCAACCACTCGTGGCACAGCCCCCCTCCGCTCACCTGACGGTAACTTCATAATTAAAGATGTTGAAGGCCTCCTTCAATGCTGGAAAGAGCACTACCATTCATTGCTCAACCGAAACACCGATGTGGATGTCCTGACTACCCAGCAGGTCCCTCAGCATCCAGAGCTGACCCACCTCAGCTATCCTCCATCCCTGGATGAGGTAGTTACTGCCATCAAACACATGAAAAATAAAAAAGCCTCAGGGCCTGATGGAATCCCAGCCGAGGTGGATAAAGCAGGAGGGCCTCTACTTACCAGCAATCTTCACTCTCTCCTGGAGAATATATGGGAAAAGAAGGAAATCCCCATGCTCATAAAGATGCTTCCATTGACAATATTTATAAGAACAAGGGAGACCGGTCAGACTGTGGCAACTATCGTGGGATCTCGCTGCTCTCCGTAGCTGGCAAGATTATCGCCCGAGTTCTCCTAAACAGACTTCTTCCTGAGGAGGAAAACTTCCTCCCAGAATCTCAATGTGGCTTTAGACCATCACGTGGCACTACTGACATGATCTTTGCTGCCAGCCAGATACAGGTAAAGTGCAGAGAACAGTGACTTGACCTGTTCATGGCTTTCATCGACCTAACCAAGGCCTTCGACTCAGTCAATAGGGAAGCCCTCTGGTAGACCCTCAGCTGTTTTGGCTGTCCACCAAAATTCATCACCATTGTGAGGCAACTCCACGATGGCATGAACGGCAGTGTCGTTGCACAACGGCACCCAGTCTGAGTTCTTCCCCATCCAAACAGGGGTTAAACAAGGGTGTGTATGGGCACCAACTCTCTTTTCCATTTTCTTGGCTGCCTTCCTCACTCATGCCAGTGCCAATTTAGCCAGCGGGGTGGACATCGAGTACCGGGTGAAGGGGGGGTCTTTTCAATATAAGACGACTCCAGGCAAGAACAAAGGTGTCGGCAGTTTCCATGACTGAACTTCAGTATGCAGACGACCGACGACCTCACTCTTGTTGCTCACACTGAACACGACTTACAGGAGATCCTAAACACCTACGTAGATGTGTATGCACACTTCGGCCTTGAGGTGAATGTACGTAAGACTCAGGTTCTCTTTCAGCCTGCCCCTGGTTCAGACACACTTCCACCATCAATCCAGCTTAACGATACTACCCTCTCTAATGTTGCCCACTTTCGGTATCTCGGCTCCCACTTGTCCACCACCGCAGATATCGATGAGGAGATTTAGCACCGGATCAGATGTGCATCTCAGGCCTTTGGCGGCCTCCGAAACCGTGTCTTCAGCTGTAGGGAGCTGAAATTATCTACAAAGCTGCATGTATATTGAGCAGTAGTCCTCCCCACACTGCTATATGGCAGTGAGACATGGGTCACATACAGAAAGTACCTCAAAGTACTTGAAAACTTTCACCAATGTATTCTACGTGCCATCCTCCGAGAACAAATGCCAGTATTCTTGCTGACACCAACTGTAGGAGCATTGAGGCTAACATTATCCATGAACAACTACGTTGGGCTGGCCATGTTACCCGCATGGACGACTGCAAACTGCCAAAGCAGCTACTTTGCAGTCACCTAACGATTAGTAAACTTAACGCCGGCGGGCAATTGAAAAGGTATAAGGATGGTCTTAAGACAAACCTGAAAGTGCCAAATCGACCCCCTTACCTGGCAGTCGATTACTCCACACAGTAACGCTTGGAGGAGCACCACACGAGGTGTCAATACTTTCGAGTTAGCCCGACTGCAAACCGAGGCAGACAAGCACCAACGCCAGAGAGACACTGCCATCACCCCTCCCGCACTAGATGCAGCCCACCACATGTGCAACGAATGTGTTACAACCCTGCGGGTCCCGTATCAGCCTCTTCAGTCACCTCAAAACTCACCAACCTAGGTGACATCCCTAATAACTCATATCATTGTATCATAGCTGGAAGATCGTCATACTCGATTCTGAGTGACAGCAAACTAGTAGATTGTAGTAGTAGCTATAGCGCAGGAGGTGGGCCCTCGAACTGGTTAACTACGTTACCGATAAGGGCAAATGGTTTCAGTCTAAACAAGAATTTACAAATGCCATTGCTCTAAGGTATGGTCGGCCAGTAGAAGGTTTGCCCCCCAATGCGTGTGTGGCTCTTCCTATGATGGCGATCACGCCATGGTGTGCAGAAAGGGGCTTCATATGCATGAGGCATGACGAGGTAAGGGACCTCACAGCAAATATGTTGAAGGAAATCTGCCGGGATGTCATGGTAGACCGACCCTCCTTCCATTGGATGGTGAGATCTTCCAACACAGGACTTCAAACACATCTAACGAAGCCCGTGTGGACGTCAGTGCTCGAGGATTCTGGACGCGGGACGAGCTTTCTTCGACATCAGGTTTTTTATCCCATGGCCGCATGTCACCGTAACCTAGCTCTCGTGCACATAGGAGGAACGAGAACGACAGAGAAGGGCATATGGGAGAGAATTCAAAACGTTGATCAGGAAGCTTCACTCCTCTAGTGTTCACAACCTCTGGTGGGATGGGACCAAGCGCAAGATGTTTCTACGCCAGACTCGCGGAGGTGATCTCCGAACAGAAGCAGCAGCCCAGAAGTTATGTTACAGCCTGGATGAGATGTCGACTGTCTTTCTATCTCCTTCGGTCGGCTTTGCTCTGCCTCAGGGAACGAGAGCTTCTGCCCCAATTCCGACAACTGCTGCAGATATTGACTATGAGGCTACAGTCACTGAATGCTGCATAGATCTGTGGCTCAACTAATTCAACAGATAGGATAGCTACTTATGTATTAGGATATTTAATATTAAGGTAATAAAATGGTGGCGAAGGTGTGGCTATTGAGGGAGGCTGGAGGCCACGTTTCAAAAAAAAAAAAAAAAAAAAAAGTAGTAGTAGTAGTGTGTGTGTGTGTGTTATCTCACTGCTCTCCGTAGCTAGTTAGATTATCGCCCGAGTCCTCCTAAACAGACTTTTTCCTGAGGCTGAAAAGTTTCTCTCAGAATCAATCTCAATGTGGCTTTAGACCATCACGTGGCACCATTGACATGATCTTTGCTGCCTGCCAGATACAGGAAGAGTGCAACAAACAGCGTCATGTAAAAGTGGTTTCATGTTACGGAAAGATTTTCGGGAACAGAACCCTTCCTCAACCCAGGGGATGCCTGTACTGCGCACAGATATGATTGTGCTGTGTGATGTCCTGTATTATGAATCACTGTGCTGTGATACATTACATATGAATAATTGTGTTGTTTGACTTACTAGTGGATCACTGTGCTGTAGTAGTTTACACAAGCGTGATTGTGGCATAGTATGTGTAATTGTGTATTAACTAAGTGTGACTTAATTACTAGTCTTAACAACACCTCATTGTGACAGAATCATGTATAATGAGATGAATAGCGTTGTAAGCGTATATTCGTATATCAGTTATAGAAGTAGAAATTCCTGGACCTGTTCAACCCCCCTTGGTAATACAATACTATAGTAAAAAATAGAAGAAATAATGAAAACAGGTACAGTACATGCAACAGTATCTCCTACTCTACAGTAACTACAAAAATGTATCATAATATATGATGTACCAAAATTCGAATGACTGAAATTTACAAATCTCAGAAGCATACATACTACAAGCAAACTGTGGACAGACATCTTCGGGATTAGTCTGGTAGAAATCTTCATCTATTCCACAGATTGGCAGCTCCATCTGTGGGAAATGGTATTACAAAATTCTTATTAATAAAATTATAAAATGAAGCACTATAGAATATAGTACAGTACTGTAGTGTATATATATACCTGTATATCCATGGTTTAAATAAGTGAAGATTCTTTGAATGTAATGTAACTTGATACGACGACAGTACAGTATTGTCATTTTCTTTCCTTTCACCACAAATAATTGCTATGAACAGTATCAAAGAATGTATTATGTAATGACTTACAGCTGACATACAATAACCACCATATAAACCTCTTGGTGACTAGTACTGTACCAGGCTATTTGTCAATAACTAAATTTCTTTCACGCCTTGTTATGACACATCACATGTCATCGACCCAAAGGGGAGATCTTGTTCACATGTAGAATCACTGTTAACTGTTGTTAATGTTTGTATCATTAAGTTTCATACTCATGCTACATCAATGAAGATAATAAATAAATATATTAGTTTCGAGACACAATTTCTTGAATGTAATCAAATTTCACCACTGAGTGCTGGCTCTCTAACACCATCAAAGGAAGATTTTCGGAAAAAATAACTATATTATTATGGAAATACTTACATGCATTTGTGTATACCAGAAATCACCGTAGAAAACTTGGGGATACATTCTAGAAATGGATGTGAATCTAAAATTTTGCTGATACCATTGACAAAGTCATTAACCTTTGTTTACACAAGAAACCTATATGTACTATATACTGTATTATATACACAATAAATTAAAAATAAATTAAACACTGTAGTAGTTCCTTTTTAATTAAATACCTTTATATATTATACAGTACACCTATTTACAGTAAACCCTCTAAACTCCAGAAAATTTAGGGGAAAGGGGTCCAGAATTTCCGATCGTCAAGACTTTTACAAAGTGTGTAAATACAGGTATGTGTATGCGTATGACATATGGAAGATGCAATACACGCTCATCTTCTGCTCTCTTCCTGGGAGGATTACCATCACCATTGTTTGAATTATTTTACCGAAAATCTAAAAAAAAAAATCTGTGACTGAATGTGTGTTAAACTTATAGCTAACCAATCACAGTTCAGTATTATGGGCAAGTCCATTGTAAGAGTGGGGAAATAAACTACCGGTACTCACTCACAGGTTCGAGAGGAGGAAAGAAGCCAAGGGATTGCTCGTTGGTGGGAATTTCAAATGACCGCGTGCGGCAGGAATTTCAAATGACAAATATTTAAGGATTTGGATCAATGTTTCTTGGCCACAAATGGTCAAGACTATCCAAAATCCAAATTTACGGGATCTGGACTTTCGATGGTTTATTGTATCAATACAATAAATGAATATTGTAAAGTACAGAAATAATGCAGAATTATGAAAAAGAAAACATTGCCTAAATGGAAAACAATTAAATCACTGTCACATTGACCTTTATGTGAGATACAATACATGACGCAGTAAACACATACATCATTTATGTATATACTGTAGTATCCTCAGTTTATTACATGACATTATTTCAATGTTCTTATTTCACAAATATCTAAATTAATCACCATTTTCCACTTAGTGACTCCTGGTTTATCTTGACTAATTGGGGTGAGGAGGGGAAAGGAAGTCTGGATTAGCTAAAGTCCAGACTGTTGACATCCAGTACAAGTGTATTGAAAAGATTTTCCAATTTGGCATGACAGTTCCCATATGATCTCAAAGTGAAATACTGTCCTATCTCTCGTACAAAGTACCAAATCCAACAACCTTGGGATTTGGGGGTTGCTTTTTTTTATGATATACCTGTAGTAATATTCCAGCTATATTTACACATTTACTTCTTGAAAAAACTCTGAACTGTTTATTATCTCTCAAAATTCTGTACAAACTGATTATGGGACAGAAAAAAAAATTGTAGAGTAAATGATGATATAGGGTAATGGTAACACCTTATACTAGACTTGGATAAGTCCTGTTCACTCTTGTTTACTATAGAACTACATGTGGCATGAACAGGCTATCAGTTTATTTCTGTATAAAAATAACTGAAATACATTATCATCTGAATGATGGACTAATTCATTTGTTGAATAACTGTATACACTTATTTATTGTATACAGTATAAAAAAATCTAAATTCAAAATATTCTTCCCAGCAGCTTGTAAATTGACAAGTGGCAAAGAAGAAAAAGTCAATATAATGAGGCAAACGTCAACAAACATTGGTTCACTTACTGGAGGACACTTCGAGACAACTGGCTGAGGAGTAGTCACTGGGAAAGGTGTGGTGACCTTGACACAAGTATACTGTGGGCAAGTGGATGACTCAGTACCCTGGATGTACATGATGCGCAGGTCTGATGGGCACTCCACAGGTGGACACATTGTGGTTGTCACAATTGGTATACACTCGTACTGAATAGTGAAGATAAACACAAATGTTTAGAATATTGCCAACACAAGACTTTGTATGAGCATGTGTGTGTGTGTGTGTGTGTGTGTATGTGTCAAGGAAGTGGATATGTTCAAATTATCCATTTCGTTCTTGAAAATGTCATTATTAGGTAGAATTAATGTAGAGTAAATGAAAATAGGTTCCAATCCTTAGTTATTCTGTATTTTACATACCCAACAATAAAAAAGTCCTATACAGTAATAGACTATATGAAAATGATACATAGTTCATCATCAAATATAATAGCTCATATTCTATATACAAAAAATAGTTCTTTCTGTCTTCAAACATCCCCTGAGTGACATTGAGGGCGAGCTAGCCACTTAACTGATTCAAAGACGTGTGTGGCTACTGCATGCCACTTGCCGTGACATCACAAGGCCGTCAACACAAAGTAGGAACAACGAGAAAACAATTATTTTAAGCTTAGCTTAAATTTAACCAAATTTAATTTGACAATTAGTGGTGAAAAGGATAAAGTAAATTTACAATAGAGGTGCACATGTTTAAACTGAAATAGGCCAAACTAGCAAGGTAACCAGATGCATTGTTGACAAACTGCTCACTGCCTCCATACGTACAGTATGTTCACCTCCCACAAAGAATAAATCCCCATGCTCCCCATTTTTCTTATTTTATAGTTTTATATTATATTTTTCGTTATTATTTTCAAGTTACATTAGAGTACAGTATTGAAATGATTTTTCTACAACTTCTATAGGTGACTGGCAACATGTGTTATGGGAAGTTTAATATTACTTATTATGGTTATTTTACATGATATTAGATGCTCTTCACAATATTCATACATCATTCTCGAATACCGAGAGGTTAGGCAGTAAGTAGACTGTCACAAACCACTCGTAAAAATGCTGGTGAAAGAGAATTAGGAGAATCACCCATAATGACACAATCAAACACTATGACGATACATTGTTGTTAGAGTGAAAAATATTTCTTTTGGACTTTCCATTAGCAAGTGAACTTGCTGTTAGCCTGTTAGATGTGTTAATAGATAATAATGATAATACATTGAGGTAAATAACCATAAATAGTAGAGAGTGGCAAATACACATAGTCGCTGACTGATTAAAACTAAGGCCACCATAGCTCTACTAATAGGAAAACAGTGTGGCCAGCCAAACCTCCCAGTTTCAAATCTAACCAGGTTAAAAAACAACCAGTTTTCTGGTAAATCCAGTTTTCTGGAAGCCAGGTAAATGGTCTGGCACCTGTACAATGCTGTAAATGCTTAAAAGACATTATATTATGTGCTGTACTGTACATTCAATTAAAATTAACTTTTAGTCACATAATATCTTAAGAAATTTTTATTGGAATGATGTACAAAACTCAGGGTTTTGAAACACAAGGAAGCTGGCAAACCTTTTGTAAAAGTCATTATAAGTAAGAACTGAATGTGCCAAGTGTGGCCTGTGAGCCTGTGGTACAGTATATGCTGTAGAATAATAGTGTTTAAGTGTAGGGTGATTCTGAAGTTAAATATAAGCTGAATGAGCAATAGGAAAATTAACCAGACAAAAGTCATTTTATAGAAAGAAATCAATAAAATAAAAGAGTACTATCATAATGTTTACAGAGATTTATTGTGGAAATTATGAATCTAAAATGAACGTGAATGAGCCAAGTAGAAATATACTGAATAGAAAAACAGAAAATATTATCGTACATAGTGAAGATTTATTGTGAAGATGGTGTACTCTGACAAAGGAGTGAGCCTTGCTTATTTTAGTATTTTGAAGAGGTTATGCATAGAGACAACTGACTGTAAAGCAATAAAAATTATATGATATAAAGAGACATACAAAGAAACAGTAGCCTTAATCATCATTACAGTATTCAATATTTACCGTAGGACATAATTCCAAAAGTACTTTGGAATCAGCAATGAAGACATCATATCCTTGAGGGCAGCTGGGAGGTGGGCAGGGTGCAGTAGGAGGTGCTGCTATGACACATTGGTACTGGGTACAGACATCATCCGAGGACTGTTGTGAGAACTCATACGAGTACTCTGGTTCCTGGACAATATAACCTTCGGGGCAGTTTGGAGGAGGACAGGTAGGAGGCTCCATTGTTGTGATAGGAGGAATGCACTCATATGTGGGGCACATATCACCCAGCTATACAGGAAAAATCAATTAGATATCTTATTGACAATAAAATGAGAAAAAAATTTGCTGTTTCATGACAAAAAGCACCAAAACTAGGGAATGCAATTGGAATGTGATTGATATATATTAACTACAAACCTTCTTTGTAGCCAGTGCAATATCATAACGTGGTGGACAGAGTGGGATAGGACAGTGCAAAGTTGGCATAGTTGTTGGTGGTTCACAAGTGATGGCAGGACACAAACCATTTGTTGATCGTACTTTCTTCACCCAGTGATCAGGACAGTATGGTGTAGGGCAAACCTCAGGAATTTCTGAATGAAAAATAGCATCATTCGATAAGAAATTTAGGTCATTGAGGATAAGAGTTACAGACTTTCAGTTGACATGAAGAGACGAGTGCAAATTACAAAGACCCATGATGAAAAATGGCAAATGCAGTACAGTAATGTAATACTGTACAGGGGGTCTCCGACTTACAAACACCCACCGATATCAACAAGGTCTCACAAGGTTAATCATGGCTCCCAAATGCAAACCTGACGCAAGTGACAGTAGTGCATCCAAGAAAAGGAAAATAATTTCAGTGAAAGTGAAAGGTGATGTAATTAAACATTCTGAAAAAGGCGAAATGCCCTCAGTTATTGGTAAAGTATTGGGCTTCAGTCGGTCAACGAGTCAGAACAATTTTGAAATACAAACAGAAAATTCTTGAATATGTAAAAGGATCTATACCAATGCAGTCAACTGTGATAACAAAACAAAGAAGTGGATAGTTAATTAAAATGGAAAGATTGTTAGTGATAAGGCTGGAAGATCAAAATCAAGGGGATTTGCCTCTAAGTCTAGCCCTGATTCAGGAAAAAGCGAGAAGCTTGCATGCTGACTCAAAGACTAAATGTGGTGGTGAAAGGGATGGAGAAGATTTTGTTGCTAGTAGGGGCTGGTTTAATCGGTTCAAGGTAAGGGCAAATGGTGTTTGGAAAAAAACACTGCCCACAGCTTGTCCACGATTTCAGGGGCTCTGAAAATTATTTTGGGGAAGTGACACAGACAGTGGTAGACCTTGGGAACTAACTCCTGCTTGATATTCATGAGGATGATGTCACACAGTTGCTTGAGTTTCATGCTAAAGAAGTAAGCAATGAGGACCTAATTGAACTTGAGAAGCAAATTTTGTCAGGGAATGTAGAGGAAGCTGAAACTCCAGAACCAAAGGGATTCATTACAAAATAAATGGCAGATGGCTTCAGGCTTATTGAAGAAGGATTGTTTAAATTTAAAAAGCAAGATACAAACACAGCAAAATTCACCATGATTCCTAAAGGTACTGTATTACTGAATGTCTACAATGCTACAGAGAGATTTATTATGCGAAGAAAAAAGTTTCAGTTCAACCATCCCAATAAAGCCTCTGTCACTCCTACAAATGACCATCTCTACGTGCAAACCAGTCCCAGGTTTCAATGTAAGTGTTAAGCTTTAATCTTTACTTTTTTTTACTGTATTTTGTCATTAAATTTCTTCTTTTCTCTTAAATTAAGTGATTCGAGATGTATAAAAAGGACTTAGGCTATGATATAGTGCACATAGGGTATGTGTTCCGACTTGCGGACATTTACGACTGCCTCCCTCCCTCCTTCCCTCCCTGCCTGCCTGCCTGCCTCCCTCCCTCACACAAGACTTTAAACTCTAGTTGTTGTGTGTGTGAGGTTGTGGTGTTCGGGTATTAATTAAAGAATAATAACTGGCCTAAGGTTAAAAATGCTTTGAAAGCATTTGAGGTGGATGTAGGGTAGATGATTAGTGGATCCCATGTTATTGAGCTGACCTAATGTTATGTACGGTCACTCATTGTATATAAGCCTCTCTCAGTCCCTGTAAATTCAGTTGCCTCTGAAGATGTCTTGAATAAAGACGAAAGCTAAGGTGCTCCAGTGTTTCCCTTTTCCTGTGTGGTTTTATCAAGTACAGTACAGTATGTTACTGGTAACAGTTTCCTAAATACTCCCTGCTAAAATGAGGGGTCCATCTTATATGGTGTTTGCTATATCATTATTTATCGTTTTTATACATTAAGTACATTCACCATAAGCTAAAGTAGGTTTTACTGTATCATGTGTCCGAGATGTCTCTGTAGGTGTGAGCGTATTAACAGAATTAATATCCATTTAGCGAACTAGTTCACTAAATCAAGCAAAAAATAACGGAAAAAATGCCTTCCGCTAAATCAAGAGTTCATTATAACAGATTCCGTCAGATCGAGATTATACTGTACTTAGTTGACCGAGAGTTCGATTTAGCAGAACTTTCATTTTAACATACAGGGGTGGCTCGAATTAGTTCGTTAAATCAAGAAAATACTGTATACCGTAGACCCTTGCCATTCGTGGGTTTGCAATTTGCGGTAAGCAGATGGTGGCTATGGTGGCTAGTTTGAAAGCCTTTTCCCGCAGCACAATGAGTAACGCCCCAAGCAGCATCTCATGTTGTACTGTACTCTCAAACTTCAGTGTTTATGTGTGAAATGGTCCCTAAAAGACTGCCTAGTGTCAGTGCTAGTGATGCTAGTGGAGTGAAATGTAAAAGGCAGAAGTCAGTGATGACCCTGACAAAGAAAATTTTATTATTTGATAAGTTAAAAAATGGGATGAGTGCTGCCGCGGCTGGTTGGTTGTTTGGTATAGGTATACAGTAGTGCACTAAGGAAGTAAAAGTTGCTTAATGTGTTATGCTTAGTTGGTTAAGTGTTCTAGATTATATTGCTTGAAGTTCTCTTTTATTTCTTATGTTATGTTATGTATATTTGTGTCTAGCCAATTCTGTTACTTGAAGCTTAGTCATTCTTAATTTGTAATTCCTATATATTCTGTTTATTACAGAAGGATGGATACTGATGTTGCTATTCGCGGTTTTGCCTATTCATGACGTTCCTTGGAACGTAACCCCTGCGAATAACAATGGTTTACTGTATACAGTATTTGCCCAGTTTCAGTTCAGTAAAATTTAAAAATACTATATAATGAACTCAGTTAAGACAACTTCAAGAATTAACAGGATTCAATGTGTGAAACCTATAGTAGTGCTAGAGAAAGGGTCCTTAATCACTTGTGCACAGGATCCCCTCTCAGCTGAATAAAATCATCTGGCGTTAGCCAAACAAAATATTAAAAAAGGCGTGCCCATAGTGAACGGGTTAACATACTGTACTGAGAATGAACTATCCAGTACACTCACAATGGTTTTACTTGAGAAAGATGTTACTTCTTTGAAATCAATGGAATTGTGATTCTTAAATAATAAAACAGAAACAAGGCATTGTACAGGTTTAAAAAAACTAAATAAATTATTGACTAAAAGTTAAGTGCATCCATGCCTTTTTCTACACCATACCACAATGTTTATCTTAGCCTATCAAACCCTAACAGAGAATAAAATGTATGACACTCATTTAAATTTTTCATTTTGAGAAAAAAAATACTTTCATTAAGGTTAGCAAGTAGTGTTTTACCTGGAGTGGTTGTTGGGCAGTTTAGTTCATCGTCTGGACATTCCTCAATACCATTGCACCAAGAAGACTCATTTAGGCAGTAGTTGCTGGATGGACAAAGTTTGGTTCCTTTGGGGCACGGCTTGCACACACAGGCACACAGGGGAGTTACAACAACTCGTTGATCCTGGAATGAAGTATGTATTCATGTCTCTAAAGTACTGATTCTGAATGTGCGCACCAACATATAATATAATCGATTAAAAACTCAACACATAAAAAGTAAAGACAATATTAGTGCATGAAGACCCCGGTTATCGTAAAGGATACATTCCTAAGTCATAGAAAATAACGAATTGGCAAATATCAAAGCAATTTTCCCCATAAGAATTAATGTAATTAGCAGGGGTGTGTTTTCAGCTGGCAAATTACACCACATATTTTTTGATGCACAGTACACTCCTCATTATCTGAGGCTATTAGGGACCATTTCATATGTATACAGGCAACCCTACATTACGGAAACCCGGATTACGGAAATTCGCCCTCAGGGAATTTTGAAACTGAGCAAAAATTCGTAATATGGCCAAATAATTCGCCCTTATGGAAATTGGGTACATTTTCAAAATATAAAAATAACTTTATATAAAAAAGAAATTCACCGAAATTACAAAATATATATATATTGGAGGGCCGCTCAACTCTTCAGTTGCCAGCAACCACCACAACAATGGCACTGCTCAATTTGAACTCTTTCCCAGTTATGTGTCTGTGTTCAGGATTTTTGTCGTTCTTACGGAATTGTGGATAATTTATTAAGATTTTCAAAAGAAATAGATTGCTATTTATAAAAAAAAAAATATTGGACATATTCACGTCTTCTTACTGGCTAACCCACTATGACCATCTAAACACCTAGACTCAGGCGTCATTACATACTCTTGCTCACACCCTCTTGCCGTGTACCTCACCCTGTCCATCCCTTCCACCTGGATGTTACCATGGCTGACCAAGAAGAAACCCTCGTGGGCCTCAGGGCAAAAGAAGTGGGAACCAGCAGGCCAAAATTTTGAAGAAAATATTGTCTGCTGTCTGCACCACCCACCTGGAGATTCAGAAGTCTGTGCCTGTTACCCAAAGTCATTTTAAGAGGAAAGGTCTAGTGAGTGATTTTAAGTGTAAAATGGCATCTCTTGCACGGATTTCCGACATGCTGATGTGTACCTGTATGATATTCTCACATAAGATGAGACCCCACTGTATTACACTAAAGTGTGTGTGGCTGTGGACTGAACAACTGACTTGCCTGCCATGTGGCTGTGCGAGTGGACAGGACAGCAGCCCACGGAATGCAAGATGGTCGAACTCTCAAACTCAAGGTTGAATCATGTAATAGCAATATCGCCATTAGCCGGAACAATTGGTTCAAAGCAGTACCAGGAATGAGAGTTTTCAGGGTAACAGGTCGACTCTCTTAAAGCTGGAAAAAATCCCTCACCCCAGGAATTTTCTGTGTACTGTGAAAATTTTCTCGGAAGTTCCAGAAATTGCATAATTACATTATCTTTCGAACCCAGAAAGAAATCCCCCCCATCCCCAGCACTTTTCCAGGTACATAAATTTTCCATAATGATGCATTATTTCATCTCTCAAAGCTGGAAAAAATCACCAATCCCCAGAATTTTCTGTAATTTTCCAGGTACCAGATAATTATTCTCTGAATTTCCTGAAACTCTACCTGATTTTCATCTCTCAACCCAGGAAAAAACATATCCCACATCCCTGGAATTTTGTGGGTATGGAAAAAAATTTTCTCAAAAATTTCCAGAAAATATGCCTCTCGGAAAATCGTTTCCAGAGCCAGAATCTTTGGGTAAGAATTTCGGAGAAAATTTCAATTCCTGCTATAGGAGAGTTCTGGTTGAAAGGGACTCCAGCTAACGGAATGCCTCATAACTGGAACGGTCCTATAGCTGGAATTGAAAACAAATTTTTATTTCTGGGTCTGGGAATTAATTTCCAGGGCATTCCGAAAGGTTGCATCATGCTTCAACTGTAGGTAGTAGTAGGTAGTAGGCAGCTATCAAACACAGAGGTACTACTGCCTGGGAAGATATTGGAAGCATAATGTATTGTCTAATGGTAGACCCTGCTGCCATATGACCTCACAAAAATTGTGACCAAGTCCTAGGTTGCTAATCTTGCTAATCTGACCTGCCTCATTTACATAGAATTGCAGGGTCTCAATTGTTTCTCTTACTTTGACAACACAACATACATATATTGTTTTTCACTCTTTATCTTTTTATTTAATTTTTGTATTTATTTATGGATCATTATTATTATTATTATTGTTTTAGCAAAACCTCATTAAGGCAGATGCCTGCTAAGGCGAATATCGCTCAAGCTCGACAATATTACAGTAATATCTCCATTAGTTGGAATCACTCTAACTGGAACTCTCTGATAGCCAGAATTATTTTTTTTTCTCAGAAAATCTTTCCCAAAGCTGGAATCAGCTTTGGGAAAGATTTTCCAAGGGACACATTTTCTGGACAATTCTGAGAAAAAATTTCCAGTGCCCGGAAAATTCCGGGGATGGGGGAGGTTTTTTTCCAGGTTTGAGAGATAAGACTCAGGTGCATTTTCTGGAAATTCCGAGAAAATTTTTCTGGTATCTGAAAAATTCCCGGGATGGGGGATATTTTTCTGGCTTTGAGAAAGTCGTCTTGTCACTCGGAAATCTCTCATTCAAGGAACCAAGGCATCAGCATGTGGGACACAGGTGCTTGAGAGTTATCAATTGTTGTTTGTGGGAATATTATTTCATTCACTCTAGTAATGATACAATGTTCCTTATTATGTTATCGTAGGTAAATGCATGGTTTATATAATTTGTTTATCACTGTGCCTGTCACCATTTTCAAATAAGATTACAAGATATGTATTTTTCCCATACATATTTCATCGTATTTCATCCGTATGTCTGGCAATGGGTGCAAGTAAGGTAAGTGAGTGACAGCTAGTTAGCTCGTCGTCTGCTGTTCTAACTCTCCTCGTCCCCTACCATATTTCACTGGATTTACTGTTATTATTATGGCAGTGAAGCCAGATTAGACTTATCACTGTAACCACCAGGATTCTGGGCCAAGCTGTGACGTGTTATGGTGGTTCTTCAACTTGTATTTTTGGGTAGAATACGTAACTTTACATGCACACACCATCGTACATACATATTGAAAAATGTAAAAGAAATAATTGTCGTAAGGGCAAACACGTTAAAGGAATATACATTATTTTGCACATGAGAATCAGCTGGCTCAGTGTGGGAGAGGAGGACGGTCACCCAGTGTAGGGGCTGGGAGCGTTTCTAGGAAATCGGCATCCCAGCTGGTCTTCGTTACTATGGTGAAGCAAGGAGTGTATGCAAATGGCAACTGTGTTAAGTTTTCATTTAGCTTATATTTATTGATTTAGCAATACAGAATTTTATGTTGTAACCTGTTTATTGATATTATTTTCATTATTCCTCACATTTCCTGGTACTGTATATATTATTTTAAGAAAACTATGGCTACAGGAGGAAAATACACACACTGAATTTTTGATATTTTTTATATCATTATTTGTCATTTTTATATATTTAGTATATTTGCCGTCGGCTGAAATAGCATTCATATTTTTTCCTTATAAATTAAACAATAATCATGGCCCATAAAACAGTGTTTGGTATCCATATGTGTGGTGAGAAGGTGAACTAAAGTGAATTAAAAGTAAGTGTACAGTACTTTGTGTACAGGCACATTACTTTTTTTTTTAATTAATTTTGATTTAAAAACATGTATTTCTTTAATAAAATTGGATACATTAGTGTTGTACTCGTTTTTTTAATGGCGATCTTATTGAAAAAAATTGCTCAAAGGCAGACAATCTCATATCCCAGACACCCCTTCCCCCCCATTAGTCCACCTTAGTGAGGTTTTACTGTATTATATTTTCAACCCCAGGCCCCGATGTGGGTCTGTGACCTGTGCCTGGGTGGGTTAATCCCTGTAAAAAAAAAAAACAGTCCCACATGCCAGGAGCGTGAGTGACCCAGCTGTTTGGATTGCTTAGTTCATATTCTGCTGCCATTGTAAAAGGCTGTTCCCTCACTAGCTGCTGTTTCCGTGTAGAATTTGTGTTGTGCATCGCTGTACCAGAACAAAATCAGCCAAGAATACAGTGTTAAAGCAGTGTTAAAAAAGTAAAAAGTGATTACAGTTATGGAAACGATACTGTACATTCAGTAAGTGGAAAACACTGGAGTACCTTACCTTTCGTCTTTATTCAAGACATCTTCAGGTCAGGAGATCCACTAATCCCCCACCCCAACAACGGGTGACCTGATATTGCATCAGGTCAGGTCAGTAATATGACCCACTAAGCTCCCACCCAACCTCCATCGCAAGTGTTAAAACTTGATTACAGTTACATATTACAGTCAGATGAGTAAACAGTGTCTGCCTACTCTAGGCTCAAGACGACAGGTGCTGGTGAGTACAAAATATAAAGTATAGTAGTACAGTAGTTTACATTACGTATTTTGTTTACAGTGTGAACAATATTGTATGTGTACAGTACAGTGGTGCTTGCGTAAATAAATACAGCTCCTGCAAGATGTGTCATTTAGACTCGAAGAAATTTTCCTGTGAACAGTGGAAAACACCAATGGACATCATCATAAGGCAAACAGAGTATTGGGTTTTATATCTAGAAGTGTAAGTAACAAGAGTGCAGAGGTCTTATTGCAACTATATCTTGCGCTAGTCAGGCCGCACCTCGATTATGCGGTTCAGTTCTGGTACCCCTATTATAGAATGGATATAAATTCACTAGAGTCGGTGCAGCGAAGAATGACAAAAATGATTCCGGGACTTAGAAACCTTCCATATCAGGATAGGTTAAAGAAACTTAACTTGCATTCCCTAGAAAGACGAAGAGTGCGGGGAGATATGATAGAAGTATTTAAGTGGGTGAAAGGAATCAATAAAGGGGATATAGATAAAGTTCTTATAATATCCGAGCAGGATAGGACTCGGAGCAACGGATTCAAGTTGGACAAGTTTAGGTTTAGGAGGGAGATAGGAAGAAACTGGTTCACAAATAGGGTGGTGGACGAGTGGAACAAGCTTAGCAACTTTGTAG